ACTTCACGAATGACCATGGGAATGCGCATCGGCATCTCGTCCTGCCAGTCTGTAAGGCGTCGGTGGGCGTACTGATGTGTCATGCGCCAGGAGATAGTAAAGAAGTAGTCCCAGGCCTGCCGCACTGTCGCTAGGAGATATGACAACCGAATTCTCCCACACCCCACCAAGTTCCCACTCCGATCCGTGTTCTTACCCGCCTGCATTTCCCAGGGCGTTCGCAATTTCCCTGTGGGACGCTCGGGGCCACGGACCGACGCTGTTGATGGGGGTTGGTCATTCTTAACACCGTTCGGTCCGACACGTACCAGCGGCGGTTCCAACACAGTTGGTATACACCCCGGGAAAGACGCAAGCTGCGGCGGCGGCGGGTGGGCGCCGCGCTCTTCGTAGTTCATGGAAGCGTTTTTGTCCAGGTAATTGTCCTTGTGATCCGCCTGGGCGTCGCAAAGGGCCCTGAATACGGAAAACAATCGCACACCGAGCGCCCTTGCCGAAAACGCAGTCGATGATGGGGTTGGGTCGAGCAAGAGACTGGCGGGGTAGCCACGCGGGCCATGGCTGCGAAAAAAAATATCGGAGTGTTGCTCATTGCTCCGTTATCAACTATGAAATGGAAAGTACGGTATGGAAACCTCTCTAACCGTGAACGCAAGAAGGTGAATACGCGAATACGACGGGCAGGTAAGGAGCTCCTTGAGCCCCAGTCGGCAGCGGGAGAAACACAAACAAGTAAGATAGGCAAGGCAGGCAAAGAGCAGGATCAATGGGAGACCTACCATTCGAGTAAGGAGAAAGAGAGGAAGGACGGAAGAAGGGGATGGATGGGGAGGGAGGCAGGGAAAGAGGGAGGGAGGATAGAGGGGAGGGAGGGGAGAGGACGGGACGGAGGGGACGGAGGGAAGGAGGGGAGGGGGAGGGAGGGAGGGAGGGAGGGAGGGAGGCATGGAGGGAGGGAGGGGGGAGGAGGGAGGAGGGAGGAGGGAGGGAAGAGAGGGAGGGAGGGAGGAAGGGAGGGAGAGGAGGGAGGGAGGGAGGGAGGAGGAGGAGGAGCAGGAGGAGGGAGGGGAGGGGAGGGGAGGGGAGGTGAGGGGAAATAGGGACGGGACGGCCCTTCCTGCCCCTCCCTTGATCCGTGATCCGCTCGAGTCTGGGTCGGCTGGTGGCCCAACCTGGACTACAGCCCCACACCGCACCTCGCCATCAGAACTTCGTGGCATCCTTCAGGGCAGGACGAAACTTAGAGGGTGCCCAGGGGAAAGACAACCTGGGAACTGAGGAAACTCATCCGTCCTCCTTTCACTTCTCCTCCTCCCTGCGCTCCTCCGCGTCCTCCTCCTCCTTCTCCACCGTTTGATCCCGATCCTCGGCCTGACTGACAGTGGACAAGCACGTTTCACTACTCGCAAAGCGCCGCGGGGATTCACGATCCGCAGCGAGGCAGACATGGTTTTTCGCACGTCTACGAGTAGGCACTTCGCGAGTAGTGGAACGGGCTCGATGCGACACGAGCCCACTGGGGAGAGGCGTGCCGGCCAAAGGACTAAAAAGTACTAAACGCAGGGGGCGTGCCCCCATCGGGGAGGTTTCTCTCAGTGCTCGGGTGAAGGGCGGCAGTCCACCTGAGCACCGGCGATAGAGCACACCCCAAAACAAAAACGCAGCAGGAAGGAGGGAGAGCAGGAGGGAACTAGAAGGAGACGGGAGCGCGGCCGTGAGGTGTGAGTCACCCAGCCCCACCTCCTCCTTCTCCTCCTCCTCCTCCTCAACCTCCTCCTCTTCTCCTTCTAATACTGTGTAGGAGGAGGAGGACCTACTTCTATTCCTCCTCCTCTTCCTCTTCCTCTTCCTCCCCTCCTCCTCCTCCTCCTCCTCCTCGTCCTCGTCCTCTGAGCGGGAGGAGGCCAACACTCAACCCACACTGGTCCTGGCCAAGCCGACATCCGACGTCGCGAACAAATCACCAAATCGACCTCGTCAAAAATCCTCGACTGGAGCCCTAGGCGCCCACCATTCCTCGTCCTTCCTCGAGCCGGAGCGATCTCTGAGGGCCCCCACGACCTGGAATCGAGGCGTGAGCGCCCGCCGCCAATCTTTGCTGGCGGCACTGGAACCCTGGGGCATCAATGATCGGCGCACGCGGGTGGACGGCAGCGATGGGGCGGCCGCCTTCGCTCTGGCGGCGCGCACAAGGGAGCTGCGGGATGGCGGGGTGGTATTCCCAAAGGGCGGGGGGAGGGGGGGAAGGCTCAAGGACGGAGCGGCGGCGCCGTGGCGCCGAGCTTCCGCAACGAAGCTGGGGCAGCGCGCAGAGTGCAGCGCAGACGACGCAAGACTCGACGGGACAGAAACACGACAGCGACAGCAGGCACGGTGGGGCGGGGCGAAAGGGCGACCTTTCAGATTGGAGCTGCAAAGGTGGGACCCCGCCGCATGGGGCCCCAGGGCGAGGAGGCACGCAACAAGGCAAACTCAGCAAGCCTGGAAGCCCTGCCCTATCCTTGGGGCCCCACTTCTCTGGATCCCACCTTTGACCCCCCGAAGAGAGCGCGACGGGGGGGTTCTTCTCGGAGCCCCTCCTGCCTTCGCAAAAGCTCTCTTGGAGGCCTCCGAGGAGCAGGAGGAGCGCAGCGTAGGAGGCGAGTCAATCCCACCCCGCTAAGGCCCACCCGCCACATCGGGCTGGTGCAGCGGACGGCGGCAGGGCGCACCAGCCTCGTGCTGGCCCGAGGAGCAGGAGGAGGAGGAGGAGGAACAGGGGCCCAAGCCCAAGGGCACGCAAGTACTAAGAATAGTACCCTCTGCATCTCGCCACTTGTCCTACATCTCGGGGGATTGGGGAGGATCAAGGTTAGGGGTCAGCCACAAAAAACACAGCATTAACACTTGTGTCCCTACAGAGGTAGACCCCACGAGGCCGATTTGACCTCGTCAGCTGATTTCGCACACCAGGCCAGCCTCCATACAGGCCAGCCTACGTGTCGGCAACCACTCGTTCCTCTGCCACTGTTCAGCTTTGCACCCTCCGTCTCTCGCTCGCGTTCCGGCACACTGGTGGCACCTCTCTCCAGCTTAGGCTCGGGGTGATCCTACGAAACCCTGAATATGTTTGCATAATCACTCTGACAATGGCACTGGCTCTTTTAGGTACCACACCCTGTACGTGAGCAATCTGCCCACGTGTAACGCTACCTGGCACCCTCCGTTGCACGGCGTTGTTCACGGCATATGCTTACTGCTTCTTGCCTACTGAGGTGGCACACCGGGGGTTCTCTACGGCCGACTATCCTTACTTACTGGGGGTACTTATCACTAAGGTCAGTGCCGACCTCTCGGGCCTGGCGGGCGCCTGCTCTGTTTGCTCGTCTTTTCCGCTTCTACCAAAGTCGTGTTCTGCGGCGCCCGCCGGGTCGTTTTGCGCCGAGCCGTCCACCTGCACGTCTGTACCATTTTTTCACACCGTGAAGACACAGCATGATGCTAAGGTCAGTCTAACATAAAAGGAGGGGGAGGGGAAGGAGGAGGAGGAGGAGGCAGGGAGGAGGTTGTAGGAGCAGGAGGAGGATGGAGGAGGATAGGTGACATGACAATATTCTAGTGGGGAGGAGGAGGAGGAGGTTATTATGATGACCCACCACGTCGTCCCGTCTTAGGTATCGCGATGCCCTTCCCTGATTCGCCTTAGGCGCCCCCGCCCTATGCGCCCCCGTGCGTTCGCGTGTCCTATCTCTTTTTTCCCTGTCTATGCCTCGCGGCTTGTGGGCAGCGGCTGGACTCGGGGGAGGGAGGCGTGCTGCGTGCAGGGCCGCGCCATCGGTGGTCCCACGCGGCGGGCTCGTCCGTGCTCACACGCCTCCTCTCCTCCTCCTCCTCCTCCTCCTCCTCCTACTCCTCTCCTCCTGCCTCCTCCTCCTCTCCTCCTCCTCCTCCTCCTTGTTCCCCTCATCCTGCTCCCCCCCTTTGCCGCTACTCCTCCTCCTTTTCAGAATGTGGCTCTCGCGCCCTCGCGCCGCGCGCATTCGTCTTGAACAGTTGCAAAAGCTTCACGGATCGAGGGCGGATCCTTTTAAAAATGTGGCTCCCGCCTTAGCGCCGCGCACATTCGTTTTCAACCAATGCAAGAGTTTCACGGGTTGCCATGATCAACGTGCCAGAAATGGCTGTTTGGAAGGATTCAGGATTATGAGGGCGCAACAATTACATTCATTCGCGGTGCTGAAGTCCCAAGAATCGCGTTCTGGCACGATTCGGGATCGTCAAAACGCAACAGTCTGGTTGATCCGTGGCGGTGGAATCCCGAGAACTAAGTTTTGGCATACTTCAAGGTATTCAAACGGTTGCCTTCCAACGAGGCAATTCCCTCAATGAGAAAGAACCGCTGTAGGGGCCAATGAAGAGGGAGCTTGGAGGGAGGGTTTACTCCAACATCGTTGATGACTCTTGGGTTTACACTGGCCCTCCTCCTCCTGCCCCTGCTTCTCCAGCGTCCCCTCGTCCTCCTCCTCCTCCCCCCCCTCCTCCTCCTCCTCCTCCTCCTCCTCCTCCATCTCCTCCTCCTCCTCCTCCTCCTCCTCCTGCTCCTCCTCCTCCTCTTCCTCCTCCTCCTCCTCCTCCTCCTCCTCCTCCTCCTACGCCTCGTCTGCATCCTGACTTCTTCTCTTCTCATGCCTCCTCTACGGCGCTCGTGGCAGGATCCTTCCAGCCTCGGCAGCCGTGGCCACAACGGCGTGCCAAGACTGGACTTACTGCATCTTGGGAAACAATGCTCCCACCCTCTCCATATTATCTTGCGCCGCCTCCTCCTTATCTTCCTCCTCCCCCTCGAACTTGCGAATCGATTCTCGGAGATCGCATCTCAGGGAGATCGCTCTGAAAAGGCTCCGAGAAAAACACGAGACACGGAGCATGATCCGATGTCCCTGCTGTGTCCTGGATTCGCGCCCACGCCTCTTCTGCCTTCGCATGCTGCAGCCGCAGCCCTCATCATCCGGTGGACGCGCCTGTCTTGGTGTGGTCGTCAATCTTGTGCAGGGTGGCACCGTTCACCAAGCTGATGATGTACAAACTGTGCAGCTCGCCGGCAGCCGCACGCTCTCCTGCGGGCACACCACGGACGTGGACGACGACGGTCGCCATGCTTACTGCTGGAGTGGCTCGTGCAAGCGACTGCAAGATGGAGCCCCCCCTGCCCTCCCGAACAACCCGACGCTGCGACCGAAGTCAGTCACGATGGCGTGCAGAAAAGCCCGTCCAGCTTCACGCGGCACCCCACGCACCGGATCGGTCCGGTGGGGCTTCTGGGCCCGAGACCTCTGCGAGAGCGCCCGTCGCGGCGTCTTCTCGCGACACCTAGATTTAGGTCGGGCCTGTCTCTCTACAGGGGAATTTTGGACGAGCAATAAAACATACCCCAAACATGCTCCCAAATGGCCGAAGAGGACCCCAAACATCGTATTTTTGAATTTCCCCCATGTAGAGGGACAGGCCCGACTTCAACCTAGATCTGAGTCCTCCAGTTGATGGACAAAAAAGTGGAACCCTTGACACCCCCCCCCTCCCCCCAATTTCAAAGTTGGCCTCAAGCATTTGGCAGCACAGGCGTGAGAGGACAAAAAGAGTGGACCCACCAGGGCCCCCGAGAGGCCGAACCCAGTCTCTGAATTGGGGGAGGGGGGGGGGGGGGGGGGGCGAATGCGGGGCCGGAGACGAAGGGGTTCCGTTTTTTGGTCCCCTTAACCGTCCCATTTCCCCTCCCCCGCCCCTCCGCCCGCCCGCCCCATCTTCCGCGCTCGCGCGCGCGCGCTGCCCCGCGTCGGCGGCCCCGGGCCTGGGACCCGTCGGCCGCCCCAGCGCCGCCCGGGGATGACCGCGCGCCCCCGGGGGCCGCGGCCCGCCGCGCGCGGCCCGCGCGGGGGATGCTCGGGGGGTCCCCCCGGCGCCCCTCCTCTGGCCATCGCTCGGACGCCCACGTCCCCGTGTGTTCTTGTTTCGGCCTCGCGCGCGGCTGCCTCGCCTGATCGTCCAGGGTGCTCCTCGAGGGCCCTCGCCGAGGGAACAACGCACGCGTCCGAGCGATGCCGAGCTCCTGGGGGCAACGGGGGGGTGCAGCGTCGGGAAAGCTGGGCCGCCTGACTTCTGTTGGAGGCCTGGAGATGGGCACCAGCACCAAGACGGGGGGGGGG